TATATATGTGTGCACTCCTGCATGTGAACTGGCCTTGTGGCCTTGTCGTTGTGCTCGGACTGTGTGGTGACTTTGTGATCCACCCTGATCTTGCTGTGCTTTGCGTGACTGGTCTTGTGACCCCTTGTTCTCCCCCACTTTGCCTATGGGGGTGTGTCAGAACATATATATAGCTTATGCTGTTGTGTAGGCTATAGTGGGGTATCCCATAGGGGGTACAACCCAATTAGGGTTTCCTATATGTACTCACTTCATTCATAGTTCATTTATTCGCTTTCTTCTTTTCACAACTCACCCCGCGACGCACTGTCTACGGACCTGCCCCTGAACCACGCGAACCGGCGTTCGTACTTGGCACGATCCCCGGAACCAACATCCCCTACTCCATCATCCGCGACAGAGAATTTCTCGCCCTCATGCTAACAATGGCGAACGAGGAAGAAGAAGAGAACGGGGGAACAACGCCTACACCTGCACCGGCACCTGACGAAGACCCCGCAGCCGCACTGGAGCGCTACATGCGCACATCTGGATTCCGCGCCGACGACGCCATCTGGCATCAGCGCCTATGTCACCCTTCGCGCGTGACCCTGAAGAATTGCATCGAAGCCGGCGTCTTTGCACCTGGCGCGCTGTTGCGCCCTGACGACTCCGAAGTGAGAGGAGGGACTCACCCGCGCAGCTGCACTGTCTGCCCCGAAGCTGCGCTGAGTCACCAGCCCTTCCCCCTACTCGAGCCAGGAACCAATCGCTACGCCAAGCTTGAGAAGGTTTACAGTGACTTTCTCAACGTAGGACACTGCGGCATCAACGACGAACTCTACACACTCACCTTCGTCGACGCCGGAACGCGCCACGTGTGGGTCGTAAACGTGGAAGTGCGTAGCAGAGCCTACGAAGCATTCCGTATGTGGCTGGCGCACGCGCAGCGGCAATCTGGGGAGAAATTGAAGATTTGGCAGTCCGATGGTGCGGCGGAGTTCAGGAGCAAGGAACTGCAGGATTACCTCGCGCAAAAGGGGATCGAGCATCACATCTCCCTCCCCTACGCGCACCAGCAGCAGGGCGTAGCGGAGCGCACGAATCGCACCCTCATGACGAAGGTACGGGCGCTACTGCGGCAGGCAAAGCTCCCGCCGATCTACTGGACCTACGCGATGCACCACGCCGTGCGGGTGCACAACCTGCTGTCAACCACCGCAATCACTGGCAATTAATCGCCGCACGTGAAATGGACGGGAAGAAAGGGGGACACCTCCATGCTCCGCGTCTGGGGCTGCATGGTTCAATACCGACCGCCAACATCAACCATCGGGAAGTTCAAAAGCCGCGCGCGCTGGGGAATCCATCTCGGTATCAGCCACGAACACAAGGCGTGGATCATCCTGGATCTCCTAAGCCAGAAAATCAAGAATGCGTGCGATGTCATCTTCTACGAGCGACTGTTTCTGCAACAATTTCGTGACGACGAGCAGACGAATGCAAACCGCGTCTACGCCAACGAGGGCCACAGCTACGCCTCACCTGAGGACGAAGCAGCAGCAGCAATTCTGGAGCAGGATCCCAGAGGCGAGTTCACAAGGGGCGATCGCCGCGACGACGACGACGACGATGACGATGATTCAGGTGAAGGAGGAACAGGCGCAACACGAGGAGGCGCAGCAGGAGGAAGCAGAAGCGGCGGAGACACAGCACCGCCAGCACCGCCTGAACCAGAAAGCGATGATGACGACGTGCAGGAAGTCGTCACTCAACATCGCCACGACAGCACTGTCACCGGTCTCCAGCTACTCGGACTACACGCTGCCATCTCCACTGCTCCGCGCATCATCGAACCTAAGAACCCACGGCAAGCTCTCACAGACACACACAGCAAGGAGTGGCGCGAAGCAATGGATGCGGAAATCCGGGCACTCGAGTCGCGCGACACCTGGGTGCTCGTCGACCGTGCAGCAATAAAGGGGAGAAGGATTCTCTCCGGCAAATGGGTCTTCCGAGTGAAGACAGGAGCCGACGGAAGGATTGAGCGATTCAAGGCACGCTGGGTGGTGCGCGGCTACGATCAAAGGCACGGGATTGATTTTGACCAGACATTCGCACCGGTCAGCCGTCACACGTCCGTCAGAATTCTCCTCGCCATCGCAGCCGCACGACACCTACCACTCCGGCAGATCGATGTGAAGAATGCGTTCCTGTACGCATTAGTGGACGCCGTGATCTACGTGGAACAGCCACACACTTACGGCGACGGAGACCCACGCGTCTGTCAGCTACGCAAGTCCCTCTATGGGATCAAACAGGCACCGAGACTCTGGCAGCAGTACCTGCACAACATACTGCTTGAAATCGGGTTCAAGCAGCTGCCTCACGATCCTGGAATGTATCGCCGCGATTTCCGCGGCGAATACATCCTCCTCACGGTCTACGTCGACGACCTTCTCTACACAGGCTCAAGCAACGAACTGCTCGAGCAATTTGAGAGAAGCCTCGCAGGGCGCGTCGACATCACCTGCAATCATGACGTGAAGAAGTTTCTCGGACTCAACATCACCTACTCGCCGGAAGCCATTCATCTCTCAGCAGCGAAGTATGCGGAGGAGCTTAGCAAGCGCTTCAACATTGCGCCTGCACCACTCTCCACCCCTTACCGCACTCCAGGACCCAACCACAAGCCTGACAACAAAGCCCTGTCCCCTGCTGGGCTTCACACTTACCAGCAGCAGTTGGGATGCCTGCTTTTCGCATCTGTTACCTGCAGGCCCGACCTCTCCTACATTGCGAGCCAGTTGGCTCAGTACTCACGCAAACCAACGGCTGAGAATCTCTCAGATCTTCAGCGAGCCCTTCAATTCTTCATCTCCACGCCCAATGTCGGGCTCAGTTATTCCACCATCCCAACCACATCCTTCAGCCTCGTCGGCTACGTGGATGCCGATCACGCCGCTGACCCTGACAATCGACGGTCCAGGACAGGGTTCCTCTTCCGCCTCGAGCCCAGCGGCCCCATCTCCTGGAACTCTCAGAAGCAGGAGTTGGTTGCCCTGTCATCGGCGGAAGCTGAATTTATCGCAGCAACAGCAGCTGTTCGCGAAGGTCTCTACCTTCAGGAACTGCTGCAGGAAGCAAAAATTCCGGCCTCAACGAACTTTCGCCTGCACTGCGACAATCAGAGCGCGATCAGGATCGCGAACAAACCTGGTTTCGTCAACCGCACCAAGCACATCGCACTGCGGTACTTCTTCGTCAAGGACGAAGTTGACAAAGGCAAAGTTGACCTGACATACTGCCCAACGGGTGACATGGCAGCAGACTTCCTCACGAAGAGACTGCCGCGTCAGCAGTACCAGCACTGCTCCGAACTCAGCGGGGTAGTCAAGCGGGTCAATGCTCGCTACGGCCAGGAGTGAAGGGGGGTGTTACGAATAGTAGTTAATGAAAAACACTGTTGCGCACTCCTCACCGTAGTAAAGCCGAAGCACGCACTATCGAGAGTGAAGACGAAAAGCCAGAAGAAAGTCGAAGGGACAGACGGTTACGAGGAGCATCTGGACCGTCGGGCAGACAGCATCAGGCAGCAGCAGGCCCTCAGATTCACTTTTAGGGACGTTGATGCATCAGGGTCCCTGTGAAAAAAAGCCTGAATTTTCAGGGTTCCTAAAAAAAAAAGCCTGAATTTTCAGGGTTCCGGAAAACAAGAGCCTGAATTTTCAATTACATCATGCAATTGTGCAAGAGAGTAGCCTTTAAAGCGACAGTGCACATTTGCCACCCAAAACCCAGAACCCTGGCAAACTGTTACTGCGGATGGAAAGTGTCCGCACGAAATCCTGGTTTTCGCCAGCCAGCACTTTCGCGCTGGCAAGCCTGGTTCAAAAAAAAAACTTCTGAACCCAACACTGCCAAAAGTTGCCCGTCGCTTTAAGAACATGGTGGTAGAGGGATTCGAACCGGAAACCTTATCAATCGGTATCTACTTCGCTAACCACTAAGCCAGTTCATCGAGTCGACGATTGGTATTTTTTAGAGAAGATTTTATGAAGCGGAAATGTTGGTTGACTTATTGTCTCGGGTGTTTTACGGGAAGGATTCGGAATGTGCATTCAGTGTACACTTCGATAAAAGTCTGAAACATCAGTGTTAGCTATGAAGTAAAGGCTGAAAAAATCAGTGTCACAAAAATCTCAACACTGAAAATTCAGTGTAGGTACACAAAACTAGGCTGAAAATCAGGAATTTCAGGGAAAAATTCCTGATATCGTAGGGCCTGGGCAGCAGCAGTGGCGAGGATTCTGCCCGAACAGTTACGTAACCACTCGGAGTCGCACGGTTGGATTTCGATGCAATAAGGGAATGTACCCCTTAGAGTACATGGCTAGTTAGGTCGTTTCGAATTCCCCTGTACTCATATTTATATTCCTTGTACTGCACGTGTTTATTATCTCAAAGCATTTTACATTCACTCTGCTATTGAGTTCAAGGGCCCACCAACATCACTTCTCTGCGTGCGAACCTTCCTGAGGTGATCCTGGTTACAATCACTTTCTGATTTTAGCAAAATCAAACAGTCAGAAAATATGACCTTGGAGCGTGCCACCACCTACATCAAGAGAGGCAGATGAGCAACATCCACCATCCCCACACCTCCTGTTGCTGGCCTCTCTCACCTATACCATCAACCAATCGCACCTGTTTAAGTTTAACCCTTTCTGCAGCCCTTCCACCAGCAACATTACTTTCCCTTCGAGCAGCCAAGGACACTACCACCGCCTCCCTCTCCTCCGTTGCACATGCGTGGCTTGAAGCCTTCTTTCACTGCCTGCTCAGCCATCCTGTGCTTCCAGCCTCGCCGTAACAAGGTTAGTCAGTCTGCATGTGCACGGCCTGCAGTAGCCATACCATCAATCACACATCTGCTTGTGAATGCTACTCTGGCACCGCTGTGTGCACGCCACGCTGCGCCTCGCCACGCACTCCATGCCAAACATGCCGTCATCTTGGGATCATCGGATGCGGGGCAGCAGCAGGAAGCCATCGAAGCCAGGGTGCCGGCCTGCTGTGCTGCGCACCGACCGCCTTCCTCTACCCGCCCCTCCCTCCACCACCCCGCCTCCCCTGCTCCCACCTTCTGCACCACCTGCTGCACCCTCTCGCCCCAAACTCTCACTCTCACTCGCTCTGCCATGCTGCCACGCACTGCCAACTGTCACACCCTCTGCTGCCGCTGCTGTTGCGCTTTCATGTGGCCGAGGGCTCATCTTCCCCTGGCCTGCTGTTGCGCTTTCATGTGGCCGAGGGCTCATCTTCCCCTTGCCTGCTGTTGCGCTTTCATGTGGCCGAGGGCTCATCTTCCCCTGGCCTGCTGTTGCGCTTTCATGTGGCCGAGGGCTCATCTTCCCCTGGCCTGCTGTTGCGCTTTCATGTGGCCGAGGGCTCATCTTCCCCTGGCCTGCTGTTGCGCTTTCATGTGGCCGAGGGCTCATCTTCCCCTGGCCTGCTGTGCGTGTGCCTGGCATGGCACTCTCAATCGCCCGCACCCTGTCTCCACTTCTCTTATCTTGGCTATCTCCCCTGCCTTTCCTCCTCTGACCCTCACCGCCCTTCCCTTCTAGGCAGCAAGCCTTTTCTGCTGAGCTAGCAACCTTGGCTGCTGAGCTGGCAACCTTGGCGGTCGAGCTGGCAGTCATACCAGTAGAGGGGACAGTGGTACCAACAGAGCAGGCAGCAGTGCCAGCTGCTGTGCCAGCAGCAGCTGCTGCAGCAGTGGAGCCAACAGCGCAGTGAGCAGGTGCGTTGGGAGGAGCAGGAGGGTGTGTGGCAGCAAGAGCTCAAGGTGGCTCGGCCGTGCTGACAGCACCTGCCTTGGGTCGGTCGCTGCGCCGCTTCTTGAGGACCGGGAAGGAGAGAGCGGGCTGCTTGAGGGGCAATGTTGAGAGTTTGGAGATGCGGTCTGCAGTGGTACCGGCGGTGGCACTTGTGGTGGCACCTGTGGTGGCAGCTGCGGTGGTAGCTGTGGCGGCAGCTGTGGTGGCAGCAGTGGTGGCAGCTGTGGTGGCAGCTGTGGTGGCAGCTGTGGTGGCAGCTGTGGTGGCAGCTGTGGTGGCAGTTGTGGTGGCAGCTGTGGTGGCAGCTGTGGTGGTAGCTGTGGTGGCAGCTGTGGCGGCAGCTGTGGTGGCAGCTGTGGTAATAGCTGTGGTGGTAGCTTTGGTGGCAGGGCAGGATACCTGTGATGTGTCTCCACGGCTCGCGAGTGTATCATCTTGAGGCGCTCTTGCTGTTGCTCGTATGCTTGCTGTGGTTGTTCGTGTGGATCCTGTTGCGGTTACTCCATTGCTTCCTGCTGTGCTTGCTGCTGCTGCAGCGACGGCGGCTAACTCAGCTGATAGCAGCACAGCAGCTTGTTCTTCTGCTGCTGCCTTGCTGCGCTGCACCCCACCAGCACTTCCCGCACTGCCAGCACACCCATCCCCATCCCCATCCCCATCCCCATCGCCATCGCCATCGCTGCTGTCTCCCGCCCTCACCTCACCGCCTCCCCCACCACTCCCCTCCCCTCCCTCTCTCCTCCTCTTCCTCACGGACCTGCTCCTCTTCCCACTCACTCTCACGCCTGCCCCTGCCTCACCCCCTGGGGTAGGCGGGCAGGCAGCTGGCGATGCCAGCGGTGCAGGCAGAGGAGCAGCAGCAGGGGAGGTGGCTGGGGGGGCAGGGAGTGAAGGGGAGAGAGGGCGAGAGGCCATGTGGGATGGATCGGTGGGTTGAGGAAGGGAGGAGCAGGCAGGCAGAAGCGGTGAGGCGATGCAGGAGGCGGGGGCAGGCTCGTATGTTACAGTCGGGCCACGGGGGCAGGTTGTAGCACAAGCAGGCACGGCCATGCAGCTGCCTCCTTGCAGGGCCGCTGCGTGCAGGGCGCGAGGGCTCCTCTTGCCCTTGGTGGCTGCGGCCGTGGCACCAGCGCCAGCTGAGGCAACTGTGGCAGCGGTAGCAGCAGCGACAGCGGTGGCAGCGGAGGCAGTACCACTGGTCGCCACACTGCATGCAGCCCTGGGAGCAACACTCACACTCGCTTCTGCTGCACCCCCAACAGCCACTGCTCCTGCTCTCCCCTTACCCACACGCACTGCCTTGCCTTCCCCGCCTGCTGCCAGCTTCTGCTTGGCACTGCGAGAGCCTTTCAGCCCGGACGCCTTCAGTTCCGAGGCAGCACCTGCGGTGCCGATTCCCCCACGTGCTGTCGCAGCTGCTTTGCCTGACGGCGCTACAGTTTTTGCTACAGCCAGAGGCGTCGCTGTGCGTGCGGGAGAGGGTGCGGTGAGCAGCGATGCAGTGGGTGGTGCGGTGGGAGGAGGCGATTGAGTGGCAGGAGGAGTAGTTGCAGCGGTATCAGCCTTGAGGCGCGATGCCAGGCGGGCCACAGCGCGGCGCAGGGTCTGATAGTGGCGCGGGGTGGCAGGGAGAGGAGGGACAGGGAAGGGAGATAAGGTGAATGCAGCAAGAGGTGAATAGTCAGCAGCACTTGATCAGCATTCTCCATGACGACAGCAGCAGGTTCGCTGCTCACCTTGATCTCTGGGCGCAGGTCCACAGGCAGGGCAGAGGCGTGGCTGATGAGCGCGCGCAGATGTGACAGACGCTGGGCGGCCTGGCGCTCTGACAGCTGTGACTGAGATGAGAGTGCCTTGCTGAAGCAAGACAGCCACTCAGAACGGCATCAGTTGTGCCTACTGTGTGCGAGCCCTGGAGGACAGACAAGGGAGGGGAGGGGTGAAGGAGGAGGATTGAGAGATGGAAGAAGGTGGGACAGAAAAAGACTCTTGGCATGCACACAGAGAGTATAATGGAGCGAAGAGAGCAACGGAAAGACAAGAGAAGTGGGGTTGGAGACACTAAGATCTGCTCGTTACACAGTATCGCCGTAAGTGCAATTCTGTTTGTATAAGCCACTATCTCACCGTCTGCACCAGCTGTGCCAGGGTGGAAGGTCGGGGCCGTGGGCGGCCAATGAGAGCGCTACACGTGGCAGCCCTCCAGCAGTGGGCGGCCACTGCCCTCTGCATCACCGCCAGCGTGCCGCCCGCCCGACTTCCTCAGCACCAAGGTAGTCGACAGCGGCAGCAAAGGCGACCGAGGGGAGAAGGGGGGGAGGGGAACACCCGTCAAAGAAGGGCGTGTGGGGGTCGCCACAAGAGGCACCTACAGCAACTATGCTAGCCTCAGCTGCAAGCAGATGCTTCTCGAGCAGGTCAACGGTGAGCTCGGTGGGGCAGAGGGCGAGAAAGTGGTCCCTGACTGCGCGAAGAGAGTCAGGGAGACGGGTGACTAGGTGGTAGAGAACGAGGTACATCGGGGGCGGATTCTTGGCGAGGAACTCAGCAGGAAGGGCGGCTCGGTAGCGAGTGTCACTAGTGCGGAGGTGTGTAATGAGGTCAGCGACTGTGGGAAAGGCGGCCAAATCGGGGAAGAGATAGGGCAGCGAGAGACGGCCGATCGTAGCAGAGGCAGGCAAGGAGTAGCGCGCGACTACTGCATCGTACAGTGCCTTAGCAGTCTTGTGCTGGCCAAAATGCGCGCGCTAATCTAACGGCCGGTGACTGCAAATGGCTAGGCGAGCGTGAGCGTCACGAGACTGCCACTGGGAGCGAGCTGTACTGTCAGCAGTCTCTACAAGTGCTAGAGCGGTTCCGGACGCGTGATCATACAGTGAGACATCGTCCTTGGCAGTGATCTGTAGGAACAGGTGGAGGTCGTCGAGCCAAGCATCAATCTGAATCGGACGGCCCTCAGCATCGAAAGAGAGGACGGTGGGACTAGCCATAGTGGCAGCAGTAGCAGTAGCAGCAGTAGCAGTAGGAACAGAAGCAGTAGGAGCGGGCGGAACAGCAGTAGCAGTAGGGCAGCGCGGCTCGGACAGGGCGGCGCGGCACGGTTCGGGCAGGGCGGCTCGGCGCGGCTCGGGCAGGGCGGCGCGGCGCGGCTCGGACAGGGCTATGCGGCGCGGCTCGGACGGGCAGGGCGGCGCTACGGTGGGCCTGCGCGTGGGCTGCTGTTGCGTACGGGCCGCGGCTGCGCGTGGGCTGCAGTCGCACGCGGGCAGCGAGCTACGCGCTGGCTGCAGCGGCCGGTGCGCAAGCAGCTGCGACGCGCGGGCTGCGCGCGGGGCCGCACGAGGACGGCGCAGGCTGCGCGCGGGCGGTGCTGGTCGTGCGTGGGCGGTTAACGGCCTACGCGCGCTAGAAACGGGCCGCGCGCGGGCGGCTAGCGGGCTGCACGCGCTAAAAACGGGCCGCGCGCGGGCGGCTAGCGAGCTGCGCACGGGCAGCGTGAGAGAGAGAGGCGCGCGAGGGCGCACTAGCAGAGAGGCGCACGAGGGCGCGAAAGTGGTAGGGCGCTCGAGGGCGCTTCTAGCAGAACGGTGGGCCCTTAGGACTAAGCGGTCCTAGGTTCCTAACCTAGGCTCGTAATACCATGTCAGAATGAACAAGATTGTTTGCACTAGGAAAGAGGTGGGTACAAGTAGGAAACCCTAAACTTACTGTACCCCATAGTAACTACCCCACTACAGCCTAAACCAACTGTAGCAGATATAACATTTGACACGCGTCCAGTCAGAATGAGCCGTCACGCCTGTGAAGTGACGTGCCAAAGCTCTGTGCACAGTCAGAGAATGCCCTCGCGCGATTCTGATCCAGGAACCTGTAGGATTTCGATTCGTTAGAATTTACGAGACTGAAATAGATTTTGGTGTGTTTAAATTGTATTTCTTTTTATATAAGCACCGGCGCTTATGGCCGTTACTCAATTACAAGACCCCCCTTAAAAAAATGAGTGTATTATAAGCGCATATGCGCTACTATCTGGGGCCAGACTATACATGATATGTGTTTCGGCCAGGCAAGATACTAAAACCTAGTGTAACCATATGAAGCAGCCTGTGAACGCAAGAATCACATCGAACTGAGGACACTCATGAGACTGGCTTAAATGTGAACCGTGACTAAACAACGACGCATGTTGTCAAACTTATATGCTATAGTCTGTGGAAGAAAGGCCCCGCCCTCGCTTGGGCGCAGCCGATCTCATTGTCGACGAGAAGTTCGCGACGGATTGGTCGACAAAATGGGCTTCTGCAGTTCGACGGAAGTTGCGGTCGAGCAGGCTGTGCTCGACAGAATCCGGTCAACGAGCTCTGCGTCTGGTCGACGATCTCTGCGCGAAGAGCTCCCGTCAAAGAGCGCTGGTCGACGATCCTGGTCGAAGAAATCTGGTCGAAGAGTTCGGGTCGATGAGCGCTGCTCGGCGAACGCTGTTCAACCGAGCGGTGTCCAAAAGATCGACCAAACTTGCAGAGGTGTGCGAAACTCTGAGGAGGTGTGCGAAACTTCGCCGAGAAGGTATTGGCGAAGTTTGACCTGTGGAATGGCAGCACGTGGTCGACGGTGCGCACCTGGCGAAACAGACAACATGTATTCTACCTGGCACCTACGCAATGTGCCTGACGGTGAAACCAAATATCACAGAAAATATTCCTCACGTTGCGTCTCAAGAAGAACGTTCCTCACATTGCATCACCCATCATTCATTCCCCTCTCCCCTGCCCCACTCAAACCACGAGTCACCTTTTTCTAACCCTTCAGCTCCCCTCCCTGCCTCACCCAAAGTACCTTGTAGCTTGCCTTACTCTTTCCACTCTCTTCCCTACCTCACTCAAAGGACTGTTTACCTTGCCTAACCCCTCCCTGACTTGTCCCACATGGCCTCACTCCTTTCCCTGCCCCACCAAACACTCCAATAAATCTCATGGTCTTCTGAACTACGAGGCTAAGTAGGATGGAATCGATATAGGAGAGAACTGCCTGATGAAAATGCCTGGTCTAGAAAGGTACGGGGGCAACTCAGCAGCAGTACGGGGTGAGAATATAGTTGAAGTAGGTAACTGATCCTATCACAACTTGTTAAAGCAGGTGAAATAAAGGCGGAATAATTCCAACTTGGATTATTATGCTATGATCCAAGCGATTTGATTCTCAAGCAGCCGAGCTCCATAATGCCCATATAGTCCAATTATTTTCAGTCGTGAAAGAACTACCACCCTTCCCCCTTTCTAAGCACACATTGTTCCCATACAAGTCAACCACCCAACGCCAAACAGCACCCCGAGCACATGCAAACAGCAACAATACCTTCCTTGGTTATCAACCACTGCCCTGCTCTACTTGCGTCCGAGATTTCCAAAGAAGTTTGTGGCCTTCTCGAACCCTTGCTTCACGTCGTCCGCTGCCTTCCTGGCACCTTCCCCAACCTTCTCAAACCCCTGCTTCACCTCATTCGCTGCCTTCTTGGTATCCTCCCACCCTTTCTCCAGCTTTTCCGCTTGCTTCTTTTTGTCTTTCACCATCCTATCCCATTCCTTCTTAGAATACTTCGCAAGCTCCTTTCCAACCTCAGCGATGGCTTTCATTTCACTCGGCCCGATCTTCACCTTGACCGCCTTCCCCTTGAGCATCCGTCGGATCTCCTGCATCAGTGGTAAGATGGACGCATCTTTGACTGCCACTGGGGAGGACAGGTCGTCCGCCGCCAAGACGCCAACATCCCGCGCAGGATCAGATTCGAATATCGGCGCTGTAGCGGAGACCACATGCGCGGCGGCAATGAGCACAGAGAGCACCAGTAAGAAAACGCGAAGCACGGCCATTGTAAGCAACCACCGGATTGGATTCGAAGGAAGCAGATGGAGTGGCCTCGCAAATGAATTGTGCGGAGCTAAATAGTGCCGCGAGCTGGGGCTGGTTTACTATAGGTTGGGTGCGGTCGATGCGATTATTCGTTGCTAGAGGCTATTGGCGCGACGCGAAATCTGCCGCTGGAAACGGGATGATTGGTCGAAGCGCGTTACTTGGTGATAGGCACTGGAGCGTGTCTGGAAGTTTGCCGTCGTTCCTTGTCACTCACGCCATGGGCTAGCCCTAAGTGTTGAATTCACAGCCCAACTTCATTCTAGGACGCGTCACAATTGTCACAATCGACGGCGATCGATCGTGCCCATCACAGGTGGCGCGGCATCTGCGGGCTGCGTCTCCAATCGCATGGTCGATGCGTCATTTGACGCCATCTGACCTCGGCAATCGGAGGGATATCGATCGTGGCGAGGAGACTGGAGACACTAGACGGAAAAAAGAAACGAAACTATTCCCGATTGACGAAGTTACTGCACACCCTGTACATCGCTCACAGGGTCGGTGTGACATTTGTTACACGTCCTTAGCACTTCAGGAGGCGCGAAAGTGACCGATATTTGGTTACCAGCGCGAAGCAAGCTGGTGCCAGACATGAGGCGCGGCGAGAAACGCGGTGGGCAGAAAGTCTCGCAATCATTGCAGGAGTGGTACAAATGTAGGCCCGTGAGTTGCGGAGACGTCAATAATGATAACAAATGTCTAGCGCTTACACTCCAGCTATCTCCTCAATAGGATTAGTCAAAGAAGAGTGTGCTAAATTGCAACGTCAAATAGGTGACAAGAAATTGAAGTCTGTAATCAATAAGGGTTCCCAAGTGTGCGCTTATTATTGAATTCCGGCCATAAGCGCAGTTCTTGAGATAGAATGGCATGCGCCTAACATAGGCCAGCGCTTATATCCGGGGCGGGGCCATACGGTACAGCAAACCTATTCATGATTCATTAGTAAATATAGTCACTTATAGTAAGCGCACACACACACACGCCGCCTGAACAAGCAGCCCCAGGGTTTGTACTGTCATGACTCACTATGTGCATGGAGAAATTAGTGGGTTAGTGTCAAATCAAACAGTCAGAAAATATGACCTTGGAGCGTGCCACCACCTACATCAAGAGAGGCAGATGAGCAACATCCACCATCCCCACACCTCCTGTTGCTGGCCTCTCTCACCTATACCATCAACCAATCGCACCTGTTTAAGTTTAACCCTTTCTGCAGCCCTTCCACCAGCAACATTACTTCCCCTTCGAGCAGCCAAGGACACTACCACCGCCTCCCTCTCCTCCGTTGCACATGCGTGGCTTGAAGCCTTCTTTCACTGCCTGCTCAGCCATCCTGTGCTTCCAGCCTCGCCGTAACAAGGTTAGTCAGTCTGCATGTGCACGGCCTGCAGTAGCCATACCATCAATCACACATCTGCTTGAGAATGCTACTCTGGCACCGCTGTGTGCACGCCACGCTGCGCCTCGCCACGCACTCCATGCCAAACATGCCGTCATCTTGGGATCATCGGATGCGGGGCAGCAGCAGGAAGCCATCGAAGCCAGGGTGCCGGCCTGCTGTGCTGCGCACCGACCGCCTTCCTCCACCCGCCCCTCCCTCCACCACCCCGCCTCCCCTGCTCCCACCTTCTGCACCACCTGCTGCACCCTCTCGCCCCAAACTCTCACTCTCACTCGCTCTGCCATGCTGCCACGCACTGCCAACTGTCACACCCTCTGCTGCCGCTGCTGTTGCGCTTTCATGTGGCCGAGGGCTCATCTTCCCCTGGCCTGCTGTTGCGCTTTCATGTGGCGGAGGGCTCATCTTCCCCTGGCCTGCTGTTGCGCTTTCATGTGGCCGAGGGCTCATCTTCCCCTGGCCTGCTGTTGCGCTTTCATGTGGCCGAGGGCTCATCTTCCCCTGGCCTGCTGTTGCGCTTTCATGTGGCCGAGGGCTCATCTTCCCCTGGCCTGCTGTTGCGCTTTCATGTGGCCGAGGGCTCATCTTCCCCTGGCCTGCTGTTGCGCTTTCATGTGGCCGAGGGCTCATCTTCCCCTGGCCTGCTGTGCGTGTGCCTGGCATGCCACTCTCAATCGCCCGCACCCTGTCTCCACTTCTCTTATCTTGGCTATCTCCCCTGCCTTTCCTCCTCTGACCCTTACCGCCCTTCCCTTCTAGGCAGCAAGCCTTTTCTGCTGAGCTAGCAACCTTGGCTGCTGAGCTGGCAACCTTGGCGGTCGAGCTGGCAGTCATACCAGTAGAGGGGACAGTGGTACCAACAGAGCAGGCAGCAGTGCCAGCTGCTGTGCCAGCAGCAGCTGCTGCAGCAGTGGAGCCAACAGCGCAGTGAGCAGGTGCGTTGGGAGGAGCAGGAGGGTGTGTGGCAGCAAGAGCTCAAGGTGGCTCGGCCGTGCTGACAGCACCTGCCTTGGGTCGGTCGCTGCGCCGCTTCTTGAGGACCGGGAAGGAGAGAGCGGGCTGCTTGAGGGGCAATGTTGAGAGTTTGGAGATGTGGTCTGCAGTGGTACCGGCGGTGGCACTTGTGGTGGCACCTGTGGTGGCAGCTGCGGTGGTAGCTGTGGCGGCAGCTGTGGTGGCAGCAGTGGTGGCAGCTGTGGTGGCAGCTGTGGTGGCAGCTGTGGTGGCAGCTGTGGTGGCAGCTGTGGTGGCAGCTGTGGTGGTAGCTGTGGTGGCAGCTGTGGCGGCAGCTGTGGTGGCAGCTGTGGTAATAGCTGTGGTGGTAGCTTTGGTGGCAGGGCAGGATACCTGTGATGTGTCTCCACGGCTCGCGAGTGTATCATCTTGAGGCGCTCTTGCTGTTGCTCGTATGCTTGCTGTGGTTGTTCGTGTGGATCCTGTTGCGGTTACTCCATTGCTTCCTGCTGTGCTTGCTGCTGCTGCAGCGACGGCGGCTAACTCAGCTGATAGCAGCACAGCAGCTTGTTCTTCTGCTGCTGCCTTGCTGCGCTGCACCCCACCAGCACTTCCCGCACTGCCAGCACACCCATCCCCATCCCCATCCCCATCCCCATCCCCATCGCCATCGCTGCTGTCTCCCGCCCTCACCTCACCGCCTCCCCCACCACTCCCCTCCCCTACCTCTCTCCTCCTCTTCCTCACGGACCTGCTCCTCTTCCCACTCACTCTCATGCCTGCCCCTGCCTCACCCCCTGGGGCAGGCGGGCAGGCAGCTGGCGATGCCAGCGGTGCAGGCAGAGGAGCAGCAGCAGGGGAGGTGGCCGGGGGGGCAGGGAGTGAAGGGGAGAGAGGGCGAGAGGCCATGCGGGATGGATCGGTGGGTTGAGGAAGGGAGGAGCAGGCAGGCAGAAGCGGTGAGGCGATGCAGGAGGCGGGGGCAGGCTCGTATGTTACAGTCGGGCCACGGGGGCAGGTTGTAGCACAAGCAGGCACGGCCATGCAGCTGCCTCCTTGCAGGGCCGCTGCGTGCAGGGCGCGAGGGCTCCTCTTGCCCTTGGTGGCTGCGGCCGTGGCACCAGCGCCAGCTGAGGCAACTGTGGCAGCGGTAGCAGCAGCGACAGCGGTGGCAGCGGAGGCAGTACCACTGGTCGCCACACTGCATGCAGCCCTGGGAGCAACACTCACACTCGCTTCTGCTGCACCCCCAACAGCCACTGCTCCTGCTCTCCCCTTACCCACACGCACTGCCTTGCCTTCCCCGCCTGCTGCCAGCTTCCGCTTGGCACTGCGAGAGCCTTTCAGCCCGGACGCCTTCAGTTCCGAGGCAGCACCTGCGGTGCCGATTCCCCCACGTGCTGTCGCAGCTGCTTTGCCTGACGGCGCTACAGTTTTTGCTACAGCCAGAGGCGTCGCTGTGCGTGCGGGAGAGGGTGCGGTGAGCAGCGATGCAGTGGGTGGTGCGGTGGGAGGAGGCGATTGAGTGGCAGGAGGAGTAGTTGCAGCGGTATCAGCCTTGAGGCGCGATGCCAGGCGGGCCACAGCGCGGCGCAGGGTCTGATAGTGGCGCGGGGTGGCAGGGAGAGGAGGGACAGGGAAGGGAGATAAGGTGAATGCAGCAAGAGGTGAATAGTCAGCAGCACTTGATCAGCATTCTCCATGACGACAGCAGCAGGTTCGCTGCTCACCTTGATCTCTGGGCGCAGGTCCACAGGCAGGGCAGAGGCGTGGCTGATGAGCGCGCGCAGATGTGACAGACGCTGGGCGGCCTGGCGCTCTGACAGCTGTGACTGAGATGAGAGTGCCTTGCTGAAGCAAGACAGCCACTCAGAAGCTGCCTCGTGTCGCTGTTTGGCTTCCCCGAGAACGGCATCAGTTGTGCCTACTGTGTGCGAGCCCTGGAGGACAGACAGGGGAGGGGAGGGGTGAAGGACGAGGATTGAGAGATGGAAGAAGGTGGGACAGAAAATGACTCTTGGCATGCACACAGAGAGTATAATGGAGCGAAGAGAGCAACGGAAAGACAAGAGAAGTGGGGTTGGAGACACTAAGATCTGCTCGTTACACAGTATCGCCGTAAGTGCAATTCTGTTTGTATAAGCCACTATCTCACCGTCTGCACCAGCTGTGCCAGGGTGGAAGGTCGGGGCCGTGGGCGGCCAATGAGAGCGCTACACGTGGCAGCCCTCCAGCAGTGGACGGCCACTGCCCTCTGCATCACCGCCAGCGTGCCGCCCGCCTCAACAGAGCAGCCTGTCCCTGCCTCCGACACCGCCGCTGCCGCTGGCCCTGTCGGCACTGTTGGCCCTCCTCCACCATCCTTGGCGCTCTGCCCTGCCGACTGCTGCACCTCCTGTTGCCCTCCAGCCACCACTCCCACAGTCGCTGCCGCGGCAGCAGCTGCAGTGCCGGTGACATGCTTCGTGTGATCCCCTTGCACCAGATGCTGCTGCTGCTGCTGGCGTGTGGGCGGTGAGAGAACTGCATTCACGTGCAGCAGCCACGAGGCAAGAGGCTCTGCTGCCTGCGCTGCTATTGAATCTGGTGCCGCTGGTGTGG